CTAATTAAAAAATGTTAAAAAAATATAAAATATAAATATAAAAAACCACCCATTTTATTCTCTTTTAAAATGTAAAATGGAGAATGAAGCTGGCATATTTCCAAGAAATTGGTTGGTGTCAAGTAATTACAATGTTACTCACGCATGTATTTGTGGTTGTGTTTGAATTTGGAAGATTGATTCCCTCTGAAAAACATCATATATTATTCAATAAAAATAAAAATATTTATTTTTTATTATGGATATTTTTATATTTTTTAAATCAGACTCAATATTGTTTTAGTTTTTTTATATAATCACCTAAGAATTATAAATGTATATTTTTATTTATTAAGATTTATTTTTAAAACCATGATAAATTTATCTTTAATAAATTATATTTATAATAAAAAAATTATTGTTTTATTCAAAACAAAAAAGAGGAACATACTTTTTATACTTCTAATTCTTAAGAATATTTATTTTAAATTCCTTAATTTTTTACTGAAAAGTTATGCTACTAATAAAAAAATATATGAATAATAACTAGAAATTTTTCATTTTTAAAAAAATTAAATAATTGTTTATATAAATATATGCCTTAATTAGTATAGAATTTATTTAAAAACAATTAAAAAGGACTCTGGGATGGTTTACTTTAAAATAAATAAACAAATGAAAGAGCAATTCTTTGCAGGCCCATTGAACCTAATCAAATGTGGCCCAATGACGGGAATCCTGGATTAAGCAATAGCCAGATAGCCATCAAAAAACCCTAACCCTAACAAAAACCTCTCCGCTTCACTGTCTTCACCTTCTTGTCCAAAATTTGTGCTTCCAAATATGGCCAATGCCTTTATGGCCATGAGAAGCCTGCTTTCTCTTGCACAAAAACGTTTCATCAACACATCTGTTATACTTCCCACTGCTTCATCATCATTTACTGCTGAATATCTCATCAAGACATGCGGGCTTCCTTTACAACCAGGCCTTTCAGTTAAGCTCCTAAACGATGAAAATAACCTCCAAAACTCGCAAGCTGTAGTCGAATTCCTTAAATCTCACCATTTTAAGGATGCCCACATCGCCAAAATGGTCCAAAAGTGTCCTGCTGTCCTCCGCTGCAAAGTTGAGGACAATCTGGAGCCCAAATTTGACTTCTTCATTAAAAATGGATTTGAGGGTCAGCTTCTGCCCCAAATTCTGATGTCAGATCCGAGAATTTTGGTATGCAAATTAGATACTCGCATTAAGCCATGTTTAGAACTTTTGAAGCCATTTCTTGGCAGTAATGAGAATATCATAGCTGTTCTTAAGCGTGCTTCGTGGTTATTGACATATAGTTTCAAGTCATGTGTGCAACCAAATATTGATTTCCTGATTAAAGAGGGGTTGCCTCTTGATAAGATGGCAAAACTGTTAATGTCGTACCCAAGAACCATACTAATTAAGCATGATAGGATGGTTTCTGCAGCAAATTATCTTAAGAATTTGGGGCTTGAACCAAAGGCTCCTATGTTTATCCACGCTTTTAGGGTGATGGTACAATTGAGCGAACCAACTTGGAAGAAGAAAATTGAGGCTTGGAAGAGCGCTGGCTGGAGCGAAGGGGAGATTCTGGGGACTTTTAAGCGATTCCCTTTTCTTTTATCATGTTCAGAGGAGAAAATCAGTTGCATGATGGATTTCTTCGTGAATACAGTGAAGCTGGGACACCAGACTATTACTGCAAATCCCTCAATTTTCAAGTATTCGTTCGATAAGAGGATTTATCCGAGGTATAATGTTTTGAAAGTTTTGGAGTCAAAGAAGCTAATTAGAGTCAGGAAGACTGCAACTTTCTTAAAAATAAGCGAGGAGAAGTTCTTGGAGAATTATATTACCAAGTACGAGGGCAAAGTTCCTGGTTTATTGGAGATATATGGGAGCATTAGAAAAACAAAGGGACTATAACTTGATGGCGAAATAGTAAGTTTGCTTTTTTAATGCATTATACAATAGTAGCTTAAATTCCTCTTATCCTGGTGACTTTGTAATGATGTCGTGTAAACTATTTTACGGTCTCTAATTTATATTGTTCAATTTATTGTTTGATTGTGCAAGTTTCATTTTGTTGTTGTTTTTGGACATTGATTTCTGAAAGTTTTTTATTGGTGGTTGTTTTTTGGAGTGTTTGCAAGTGTTGTAGATCATTAGCTGCATTTTTAAATCCAAATTGATATTGTGGCTTGAAGGATTGCATAATAGTATTGGAATTTCCATCCTCATTCAAGGAGTTAAAATTGAATCCTAGGGGATTTTACTCTTTGAATTTTAACTTGAAATAGTTATCTTGATTTGAGCTGCGGAGCATAAGAGGAGCCATAAAAACATGCTGGTTAATTTTTTCCCGTGAATGATCGTAAGCGGAAAGGTCCGGGTTGCTCACAGTTCATATATACTATCAAGTAACAGAATTAATAGGATCGAAATGGGAAATTGCAAAAACTACCTAGAACTTCTTTCTGTGGCTATCCCTCCCTCATTATTTATAAACCTACATGCCCGAATCCTGTAAAGTGTTCAGGATTTGATTGGTTATTTGTAACTTTGGCTTCAAAATAGCAGGGGTGTTGGATATGAAGAAGTTCAGGGCCAATTAGCTCTCTTGCTGGTGCATATGAAATACTGGCGGGTTACTGTCGAACTCAGGAACTTGGGAAGCTGGTTTCAAATACTCAACAATAAGGTTGCTTGAGAGAGGCAAAATCTAGACTTCTGGCAGGGTTTCAAACTGCAGCAATGCAGTTAGACACCAACTATGTTACAAGCGTGATTTCCTTATTGTTGAGTATGTTACAAACGATGTTTCAAGAAGTGTATAATTATCTGAACAGTTGTATTTCTTTTCCACGTTGGATCATGTGGATTTGGGAGGTGATGTTTTCTTGTAATCATACCGCGTATCAGATTTGCATCCTTTTTGGTTTTTTTGGAGGGTTTATTTGCCATCAGTGGCAGATAAAGTGAGAGAATGTAAGATGTTTTATTGTAGTGGAAATAATTGAGAGTTAGAAGAGAAACATAGTTTTCTTAGAAGAGAGACATAGTTTTCTTCATCAATTTAAGTTTTTTCTTCGTCAATCAGGGCATTATAATCTATATTTAATTCTTCATATTTACAATTAAAGAATTGCTTACATATTGCCCTTGATCTCTCATCCAATGAACGACTTCCTTTCCTTGACTCAATCATTCTGCCATTATGAGTTCTATTTGTGTGCCCCTTCTTCAATTCCTTTCAATCTCTTAAACTTTAAAGCTCAGTTGGCAATGGTAAATTGCATGACATGATCACGTCATCTTCTGGGATTCACGAGCTTCAGAAGCAGTTTTCTTGAAGTGATACACTTCAGTCCTATGCTATAGTAAAGACTGGTAAAGATCGAGATGCGTCTCTAGGTTTTTAATTGAATGTCAGCAGATGGCCACTTTGGTCACGCTTGCTGCTGCTGCTGCTGCTTAAACATGCAAACCGTAATGAACAGCTGCATACATGCAAACTAATGTATTTATTGATGCCTGATATTTCAGCAGTTGATTGTTCCATGTTTTCCAAGGAGCTAGATGGAGGTTCTTCAACAAGTATTAGCGAGGGCAGAAAGCAAGTATGTTGGTTTTGTTATGGTGAGAAACTGCATGGCCACTGGCATTGTAGCTTTTAGGGAGCTGTTATTCATTGCATATGTGTGATTTAGAATCGTGTTAGAGAAGTCCTCTTTTTATGAACACATAGACACACATATATACATTTGTAATTCATAGGAAATACATTGAATCTAATACAAAAACTCGGCATAATATTTATGTGCTGAATTCTCATTTTCTTCTTCTTTTTATTCCTTTGATTTTATGTTCCATCACACAAGTAATTCTTTGTAGAAGCAAAATCAATAGTTGTTCAGGATAATAATCTCTTACAAAGATATTCCTATGTGTTCATGTTGTCCTAAAGCCATCTCTGGTAACCAACAAGGGTGAGTCCTTGGTTAAGAAAAATGATAAAAAACTTTGAGATCATTTCATGGTTATAGTTCTACATCTCACAAATATATAAGAATCATTTTCTTTATATTTTGGCTATCACCTTTCACGTTTGTGTGTATTATTTTAACTAACAGTGATGTAGAGTTTGTCATCCATTTATCTGAAATTTATTTAAATTTAGATTACTTTCTCTACTAGAAGTAGAAAAAAAAACACGTTATAGTGCTTTGTTTATATAAACAGAGAAGCAACTTAATTTTTCTTTTTAATTTTTAATTTTATTTTTTAAAAAATCTATCTTCTAATTTTTCTTTTCAATATTATTATTTCAATATTTTATTAATTTTGAACAGTTATTATAATTTCTTTCATTTTTTATTTTGAATAATTTAAAAATAATTTTTTAAAACTTAGTGAATTCTATGATTGATGTGAGTTAAGTCTCACAAAGATTGAGTCTATTTAATATATTTTTATTTTAATATTTTTTTTAAATATCATATTAATATTTTTTTTTTACCGGTCATCTTTGATGTATTTGGATCCACCATACTGTTTGGGCATGTAGAGTTAATTATCATGGGCATGTAGAGTTAATTATCATGCATGTTAATTTAATTTGTTTAATTTGTTGAGTTTGATTTAATAATAATGTTAAATAGTTTTTTTTATAATTTTTTTTGTATTTTTTTTTGAATAAATCCTTTTTTACTTTTTTTAATTAATTTTATCTTTTAACATTTTATTAATTTTAAATTCATTTTTATAATTTATTTCAATTTATTTTTTATAAAATTGTTTTAGTTTCAAAACAATTATATGATATTTAGTTGATACTCAATTCTGTGAGCATTTATTTTTTAATCTAAAAAATAATTTTAAAAAATAAATTTGTTAAACTCAGTGTAATTTATAATTCTAGATCACAAATTTGACGAGTTTAGTTATGAAGTATGTATCGATGTTATATATTATCATTTTAATATTAAAAAGAATATCATGTTGAAATATTTTTTCAAGCTAAATTATTTTTTTTACTAATTATTCGAGTTATCTTTAGATTTTTGAAGCCAATTGAGTTATGTTAAAGTAATTGAAGTCATTAATTTTAAATCAAGTTAGGCAAAAATTCAAGTTCAAAGCATTCAAAATTGATACTAAATTGGATTTAATAATAATATTAAGTAGTTTCTTAAAAAATAAATAATTTTTTTAAGTTTATTTTTTTCATCCAACCAAGTTAGAAAACTAGTTGTACCAAAAATATTTAAAACAAAATTTCTTGACATAAAAAATAAAATTATATTGCAAATTGCTAACTTAGAGATTGTTTATTATTGTATTAATTTCTGTTTTTACTCAACTAAGATACAGATAAATAAATTGGTTAGTCAAATATTTTTTACTAATTGCATTCAAGTACATGCCTAACTGCATTTTAAACTTTAATTTTATAAAAGCTAGAATAACATATTTTTTATTCATCAAAATCATATTTTTATTTATTTTACATATAAAAAATTCATCTTACATTAATTTTAACTAGTTATATATTTTTTGAATATATATTTTAAAAAAACTATTTTTTAAAACTGCAACCATTAAAGCTGCCTTAACAGCACATAAAGATCCACCCACAACGAATCCACTGTAGTTACATGCATTTTCCATTCTAATGTCCGTGAAAGAGTACTGGACCGAGCCAATGATTTGGTCTCACTGGTGTTTTGATTTGTTATAGTTTTTATTTAGGATTTTTAAAAAAATATATTTTATTTGAAAAAAATATTAATTTTTACATTTTAATATTAAAAATAACACTAGTATAAGTGTATAGTATATAAGCAATGGACCAATATTTCAGAGGTAAGCGAAAGGGGGAACTGAGAGTCCGGCCGGTTTTCATGAATCACAAAACAAACCCTACGCCTAGTCGATGAAATTAGGGATCGGTCCTCGTTAGCTTCTTCTCTAACCACATTTTTACCCGTTAGTGAGAAAATGGCCATGAAGCTTTTTCTTATTCAAAAACGTTTTCTAGCAACGCCATCTGCTAGTAGCTCACTATCCTCATCATCGTCGTCTTCATTTACGGTGGATTTTCTCGTCAACTCATGTGGGCTTCCTTTAAAATCTGCACTTTTAGCTTCCCGGAAGCTGAAGCTGGACAAAAAAAATCTTCGAAATCCTCCCTTTGTGCTACAATTCTTGAAATCTCACAACTTCGACGAAACCCACATCTCCAAATTGATTGAGAGGCGGCCTCAAGTCCTCCAGTCCAGAGTAGAAGGCAATCTCGCTCCCAGATTCGAGTTTCTGATCGCAAATGGCTTCGTGGGTAAGCTCCTGCACGACCTTATCATACACCATACTGAGATACTTACAAGTGCCTTAGATTCTCGTATTAAACCAGCTTTTTACCTTTTGAAGTCTTTTCTATACTGCAATGAGAATATTGTCGCGGCTCTTAAGCGTTCTTCCAGGTTGTTGACGGCTGATTTGAATGTCAATGCGAAACCAAACATTGATTTTTTGAGAAAAGAGGGAGTTCCTGTTAACATGGTAGCAAAATTGATTATCTTAAATCCAGGAACTATACTGAGTAAGCGTGGAAGGATGGTTTATGCGATGAATGCTATTAAGAATTTGGGTCTGGAGCCAGATAAGACGATGTTTGTACGTGCTCTTAGCGTGAGGTTACAAATGACTGAATCAACATGGAATAAGAAAATTGAAGTGATGAAGAGTTTGCGGTGGAGTGAAGAGGAGATTCTGAGGGCTTTTAAGAGGTACCCACAAATATTAGCATTCTCGGAGGAGAAAATCAGGAGTGCAATAGATTTCTATATCAATACTATGGAGTTGGAAAGACAAATTATAATTGCTAATCCTAATTTTATTGGCTTCTCAATTGATAAAAGGATTCGCCCAAGGTATAATGTTATAAATGTCTTAGAGTCGAAGGAACTGATTAAAGGAGACATGAAAATTTCTACTCTGCTAGTTACGAGTGAGAAGAAATTCTTTATAAATTATGTCAGCAGGTTTGCGGATGAAGTCCCTGGTCTATTAGAGCTGTACAAGGGTACAGCCATGAGAACAGAGAAAGACGCTTGATGGCTAAGTTAGTTTGTGTTATACAAAGTATAACACATGGTTGTAAACTGCTTCCCTTCTTCTGAATTAGACCTAGTCTGTACCTGTCATTTTATATCGTTCAATTAATTCTTCGAATACCGAGTTCAATATCCTTTCATTTTTCATTTTAGTTTCTTATCACGGCAGCTCTTGTTTCTGGTTCATTTCTTTGACCTTCTGTTTGTAATCTTTCTTTTTTTAGGCCCTTCTCTTCAAAAAGAAATGGCATGCATGCTTTAATATGAGAATCTAAGGGCCTTTTGAAAATTTCAAACAGTTCCTGTCCTTGAACATGTATTCTGTCCATGGTTATAGCTTAAAGTGAAAAACTAATAACTTTAACTTTTGAGAACCCTTGGTTTCTCAAATTGATCCATCATTTGAGTTTGTTTGAATAGTATTCTTGGTAGAAATGACACAATGGTGGCTTTTTTTTAAGGCTTTCTTTGTGACTGTTATGATTTGAAAGGTGTTAAACAACGTTCAGAATTTGGCCTTGAACCGATGGGTTGTGTGTTCATACATGCTGTTGGCACGTTGAGATGATACAGAATTTGGCATTGAACCAAAGGGTTCTGTGCTTGTACATTGTTGGCACGTGGATACAATACATATGAGTGAATCAACTCGGAAGAAGAAATTTGAGTTGTTGAACAAGCGTGGGTTGGAGCAGAGGGGAGATTAAAGGGGGCTTTTTATGTCATACCTGCTTCTTTTGGCATTCTTAGAGAGGAAAATTGGATTGACGAAGGCTATGTAGTCATAGTAGCTGATTAAAGGGAAGTTAAAGATTGAGTTATTGCTGACAAGATGTGAGAAGAATCGCATGGAGAATTAGTATTACTAACTACTAAGCATGAGGGTTGAGTCCCTGGATTATATAGGTGGTGTAAATGGATGCCACCAAGAGAAAAAACGATGTATACTTTGGCAGAGATGTGAGTTCATTTGTGCGAAATACAAAGCTGATTTATGTACATTTCTTTCCAAGTCCATATCTATTACCCTCTGAAATACTTACACATACTTGCGACTTTCAGCAAATCAACAGCTTAATCACTCCTAAGGGCTGAGGAAGGTGTTCTGTAGTTCTTCCACTCTCATCAGGAAAATATATGAAGAAAAGTCGATGGTTATCACCTAACCGCCGTCTGTTTGGCCCCCATATCTAATCTTGTTGAAGGGAAGTCGGCAGCTGATGGTTCTTGCCGACTCCAGTGACATGATCCTTGCTGACAGCTTTAGCAGCGACGAATCTGGCAGCAGATGCTGATTTTCGTTGATTTTTCAGGCTTGCTCTTTTCATTTTGATCCCAGTAAGTCCTGGGCAAACCACTAGCATAGATGACTGCGTGTTGGTGCGGTTAATTTTTTGAAATTTATTTTTTGTTTAATTATTTAATAATAAAAATAGATATAAGTAGAAAAGAGAAATAGAAATATAAAATAAAAATTTATTTTTCCATCAAAATTATCCTTTTTGATTTATATAAATTTTTTTGTTGTTTTGACTAAAAAATAGTTTTTTTAATAAAAAAATTAGTAACATAGTTCATTGATTAAAAAATAATTAAAAAAATTCGTAAAAAGAACAGTAGTTTTTTCTATTAATGTATTTCTTTATCTTAATAAAAAATATCTTTTATTTATTTGAAGTATTGTTTTTAAATAAAAACTGAAAGTCTTAATTAAAAAATAAAAAAAATCTAAAAACAATGAATTTTAAAAAAATTATATAAAAATAAAAATATTTATTCTTATTCAATATTAATAAATTTTTTTTAAAAAAAACCCTAAAACAAATATTTACATGAAAAACCACTATTTAAATTCTTTTAAAAAATATTTCATCAAACAAATCATTCTATTCTCATTCTAGTTTGATTAACCATCTTGAGCCCAGCCCATTTGAACCCCTATCAGTTTGATTAAACATTGAGGAATCTGGCCCAATGAAAACAGACCCATTCAGTTCATCAACCCACTGAAAAAGGAAATGTCTTGACTGTCTTTGTTCTAATTCTAGGTTTGGTAAGGTATCTGCTTCCAGGAAATGGGCACCAAGGTAGCCATGAGAAACCTGCTTCCTCTCTTACAGAAACGTTTTCTATCAACATCATCGTCATCTACTCCAACACTTTCTCCTCTTTCCACTGCTCCATCGTCATCATTTACAGTAGACTTCCTCATCAAGTCATGTGGGCTTCCCTCAAAATCTGCTCTTGCTGTCTCCCAGAAGTTACAACTCGACGAGAAGAGCATCCAGAAGCCCCAATCAGTACTCGAGTTTCTGAAAGCTCACGGCTTTAAAGAAACCCACGTCGTCAAATTAATTGAGAAGCGGCCTGATGTCCTCAGACGTGGAGTAGACACCAATCTCAAACCAAAATTTGAGTTCCTCATCGCAAATGGCTTTGTGGGTAACCTTCTTCCTGAGCTTATTACATCAAATCCGAATGTTTTGGAAAGGGCTTTAGAATCTAATATGAAGCCATGTTTTGAGTATTTTAAGTCCATTCTTGGTAGTAATGACATGATTGTAGCGGCTTCTAAGCGATGTGCAGTGTTCTTGACCTATGATTGGAAGAGTATTATACAGCCAAATGTTGAGTTGTTGATTAAAGAGGGAGTGCCTGAAGAGAGAGTAGTAAAAATGATTGTTGCACAACCAAGAATTATATATCAAAGGCGCGATAGGATGGTTTATGCAATCAATGCTGTCAAGAATTTGGGTCTTGAGCCCAAGGCTGCTATGTTTATATATGCTCTTAGATCGATCTTATCCATGAATGAGTTCACTTGGAAGAAGAAGATTGAAGTGATGAAAAGTTTTGGGTGGACTGAAGAAGAGATTTTGCGGGCATTTAAGCAATACCCGTTTCAATTATCATCCTCGGAGGAAAAAATGAGGAAATCGATGGATTTCTTGTTGAATACTATTAAGATGGAAAGGCAGGCCATTATTGCCTGTCCTAAGTTTCTTATGTATTCAACTGAGAAAAGGCTCCGTCCTAGGTATGATGTTTTGAAGATTTTGAAGTCTAAGAAGCTAATTGAAATCGGCAAGAAGACGAACTATCTGCTAACAGTTAGTGAGAAGAATTTCTTGGAGAATTATGTTACTAAGTATGCTGATAAAGTGCCAGGTTTATTGGAGGTATACAGGGGCACAGCAAAGACCGAAAGATAGAAACTTGATTACCTCCCATCCATCGCCTATATTCCATTATCACAGGCCAATGTTTTTCTCAGGTGAATACATACATATCTATACCTATATGTGTGTGTGCTTACGCTCGCACGCAAGAAGCTATTTGAAGTTCTTATTTGTAATGCCTGTTTTACCGATTACTTTTGAATTTCATTGTTTGCTGAAATAAATTGCATATTCTTGCTCTTGAAGGCCCGGCCATTGCTCTCTATTTTTTGCCATTCTCTTCAAATGTTAAACCAAAGCCAGCTAATTTTCTTGAACCAAACAACAAATATTGCAAGTGTCATTCTTTGGTTGATCCTTAGTCAAGTTCTAGGCTCATAATCTAGTAGATTGCTTCTCTGCTCTAAATTCAGAACTATACAAGTCAAGTTGTTAGTTTGCAGCAAGCAACCATGACTTGGAACCCTTGAGTTTTCTTGTTGACTGTTCATCTTCTCATCTGCAATTCTTTGAAAAGATGTCATAGGTCCCTTGAATTTCATTGTTTGCTGAAATAGATTGCATATTCTTGCTCTTGAAGGCCTGGCCAATGCTCTCTAGTTCTTGCCATTCTCTTCAGATGTTAAACCAAAGCCAGCTAATTTTCTTGGTGACTGTTTTATTGGATTGTTAGCAGGCAGGTGGTACAAACTGATTGAATGCTGTATATAGCAGGATTGCTTCCCCTATTTCCAAATTGCCTTCTCTTTTCAAACCATGAAGCAATTGACTTGATAAACTTCATATTTTGCAGCTAGAAGCTCTTAACTAGAATGAATATGAAAGTTGGTCATCACTAAGCCATCATTTTGATCACAAGGAACTTTTTTCTCATGACTTTTTTTTTTTTGAAAATGTATCTTAAATAACAAGCCCTTTCTATCTTGTTCATGTTTTTTGAGTTTGGAACATTACAGATTCACATGGGTCAGCCATGACAATCTTATAAGTGGGCCTATTTTGAGCCTTAATCAGAATATATCCAAATTGAAAATGTTCTGAGTTTTTGCCCAATTAAAGTGAACCGACAGCGACCTAGCTCAGAAAAGAGGTCTATATCTTCTCAGCAACCCCTCTGATAACCCTCTTCTTCACTAAGCTGTTTCTTCGGGGTGTTTAGTGTTGTGGTTGAATTTTTATTTTGTAAAATTTTAAATTATTTTTTTGTTTTTCAATTTTTTTGATATGATATGTTAAAAATAAATTTTAAAAAATAAAAAAATATATTATTTTAATATATTTACAAGTAAAAATAACTGTGAAAAATAATTTTTACCATTATTCCAAACATCTCCTTCATCTTCATCATCAATTCATTTACATTTCAATTCCTCATCAACTCATGCGGGCTTTCCTAAGTCTTATTTTTCCGTTTCCAAGAAGCTCCGAAACTGAAAGAGCAGATTTCAAGGTAGTCCTCGTGGATTTCACGCCCAAACTTCAATTTCTCATTGCAGTATCAAATCCTCTAATTTTAAAAATAGCCCTGGATTCTCATATTAATATCAATGGTTATGATTCCCACTAACTTGCTCTGTTCTTTTTCCCCTTCGCGGGATAACCTCCAATTAATATCTTTTCCATCCTGCTTTGCAGATCAGGAATTTCCATGTTGGATATAAGACTTTTGAGTCCTTCTTCAAGAGCTCCTTCCTCTCTTTCTGCTGCATCTTCTCCACCTACAGGATTTCTGGACGAGTTAAATTAGTGTTTTTGACAAAAATGAACATAAGTTTTAATAAAATGGTTGTATGGTGCTGACATTTGTTAGCGTGTTTGTCAAGTTCCCTATGGGTCACCTTGCTAGCATTAGCCGAAGTCAGTTGATGTCTAAATTAGACCCAAAAAATGATGCTTAAAATTTTTCTAGTTGTTTTCGAATTTCTTTAAATTTGTTTTAGATTTCATTTGTTAAGTAAGTTATAATTTCTATTTAAACAATTTTATTTTTTATTTTTCAGAAATTAAATAAATTATTGGTTAAAGAATTATTTTAGGAATGTGATTCTAAAGCTTGATAAACCCTAGTTTCTTTCTCTATTTGCAGAGTTATAGTATTTAAGGCTTAAAAAACCCTAACCCTTCCCCTTCTCTATACACTGTTTCAATGCTTTCTTGGCTAGATACTATTCTTTGAACAGGAGGAATTTCTGAGTCGTGGTTGTGTTGAAAGGAGATAGAGTCCTGTCGTTCCTCTGATGGTGGTGCTATGATATGATGAAAATGATGATGGCTTTTATGAAATTCTGGTTTCCTTCTGAGAACTGTGAATGTTCATTCATGGTTTTACTGTACTTTCCAGTCTGTTTAACTATGAAGGGTAATTCCAGCAGATGCGGTTTCATTTGGATGCCCCTTAACTCTTAACCTTTCCACCATTTCCAACATCTATCTGTATCAAAGCAGTTGATGTTATCCACAGGCAGTTGACAACCTATGGATTTCATCCTTTTGAGTTGGTAATGAAGAGATGTTGAGGATGAAAGAAGGCCCAGAATTCAATTATTTTTCTTAGCATGATTTTGAGCATGTATTCTAATCAATATGCTAAGCTATGTAATCTGCGATCGCGTCCACTCTATCAACTGACACAATACAATAGTAACAGTGACCAGTTTAGTTCATGTCTTTCACTCTTCCTCTGCAGTAACTAACCACAGAGCAGCCCCTTTATCTTGAAAAACCATTATTCCTGTTCATTTTCTTTATAAAATCCGGTTTTCTAAGATTGTGTTTTTTTTCTTAAGAAAAGAAATTTGATTTGGAAATCTAAATGAAAAACATGTTTTCTTTCGTACAAAAATGTTTTCTGCATATTAACAGCAGACCCGATGAGTCCAGCATACAGCGCAGTAAACATGACAACATTATTTGTGGGAAGATGTTGGGTTTTGATGAAAACCCAGGAGCAGCAAGTCCTGCTCAGCTCAGCAACCGACGACAGCAAGTAATTTATGGAGAGATGTTGAAGCCTACAAAATCCCAGAACCAAAAAATGAACTTCAGCAGCAACAAACTCTCCTGAGATTAGCAACCAACAGGACAACGTCTTCCGTGGAGAGATGTTGAAGGATTATGAATTCAGGAACAAATAATTATGTCCAAGATTGTGAGTCCAAGATCATGGATGCAATTTACTGCAGATTCCAATAAGCCAGGAACAAAATTACTTCTTACTGTAATATCAAACACCGTAAATCAGCAATCACAGAACCAAAAGTAGTCGCCCCCTTCCCATTGGTCTCTTTGTCTAGTCTATCTCTCTGTCCCGAAGCTCACCATCCTCCATGGCTGGTATACACTCTCTATCCTCTTTCTGTCTGTCCTGGTTTACGCTGCTTGGGCTAGAAAAGAAAACAACAAATCCTAGTCATATGAGGAGATCATTTACTGTGAGTTGCATGATCATTTCTTAATTTAACTCATTTTGTTCTTGTTTCTATGTTTTGACTCTCTTTTTCCCTGTAGATAATTAAAGTAATATTTGATCTCAAGAAATATAAAGCGCTGTCCTGATTTAGCCTATTTCAGTCAGAAATTATAACCATATGCTTGCTACAATATGCGTTGGATCTTACAGATGTGTTTATTAACCTTCAAGACTTCATTTTTTC